GCTACATTTCCCCTTGAAGTGGCTAGAAAGCAAATGCAAGTTGGAGCCGTTGGCGGAAGGCAAGTTTATAAAAAAATATGCTTCATGCACTTATGTGTATTTTGGGGAAGGAAGGGGTTGGAGGGCTTTATAGGGGCTTGGGACCAAGTTGTATGAAGCTGGCTCCTGCTGCTGGGATTTTGTTTGTGTGCTATGCCTATGAGGCTTGCAAGAAGATATTGAGTGAGATTCGTGGGATCTTCTTTCTTTTCGGGATGTTTATTGATAGATTCGTGATCAGTGGCTCGGTACGGCCTGATTTTTTGAATATTCTTCCATGGTTTGTAAGCTCCTTCACAGATTGCTTTTAGACTGCTGGCTTCGTGCTTTCAAGAGATGAGGTAATGAACATAGCGTTCGAACGTTGTCTGGTGCAATGTGTGTGGAGTTGGCACTCTGTGATACCTAGCTAAATCACCCTGAGATGTATTTTTGTTGCTGGTTATATTGTTATAGTGGTTCCTCAGTTCAAAGATTGATGTTGCTTTTGCTCCCCACTAAGTACATCGACCGATTATTAGTACTCGAGCCTAGGTAAACGGTCTCTTTTCCCTCCCGTGGGAACTGTAGATGCTTTTTTTGGTAGCATGAACAATATATAACAAAATATTACACTAACAAGGTGAGCGCCCCTACCCAAGCTTCACTCAAAAGGTATTTAATTTCATCTAAATAAATTATCTCTAACTTCAAGTTCACCACACAAGAAATCAACTCCGCTGCTAACACCAAGTAAATAAAAGAACCTTACGTCAGCTACAATTACATCACAAATTATAAAAGAAAAAACAAAAACACATGTTGACAAAATTAGTCCATCGCCAAATGAATTCAAGAACAACAGGAGATATAAAAAGTAGAAAAAAGATATTTAAACTTCCATCCTTCAACTCTGCTCCTCATTAGCTGCCGCCTCCCTCTCCTCTGCAGCTGCTGCCATCAGCTCATCGAAGTTCTCAGTTTTCCCCAGCAATATCTCAATCTGTACATGAGCATCAAGTTTCATGTTAATGTTAAGATACCATTATTTTAGTGCCACTATAATCTCACCTTCGCCTTTTGAATGGGCCGCCCCCTTGATTCATCTCTCATATCCACTGTTGACGTCATGATCTCTGCACGGTAAGTTTGAAAAAAAAATTATCATACAATTCCAGATTCTAATAAGGAGATAACAGAAGACCAATTCCTTGTTCTGTAAAAACAGATGCGTATAGAACAAGGGAGTTCGGGGCTTAAGAGGCAAGAACTCACTCTTCTCTACAGCAAGACCATTGTTTTTGAGAATCTCCGCAATGGTAACTACGGTTGCGATGGCTGCATAACATATCATACATATGTAAATAATAAACATCAACGACTACAAGTGGAGTAAAAAAAAATAATCAGAGGACAACTTTACTCAAATCTCGAAGAAATTATCAGTTGCTTGGGAGAACAGTTTACATTACACTTGTGGGGGTAAAGCATATAATTGGTAGTAATAATAGACTGCAAAGGAAACTAGTAGACTAATTTAACCTACTCACGTGCAAATAGTTTTGAGCATAATGCATCGTTTTAATGTAAAAATATGAACCAACAAATAGCTAATAAAGAGGGAAAGTACACTTTCATCATATGCACCAACTGAAGAGCCACGTTGTGCATGCCAAATACGCGCAAGTTTGGAAAAGTAAAATAAGAAGGTCATTTGGTTTTTTCCCGGACTCCCCCTCTCTAGTGATGGAATAAGAGGATCATTCTTGAACGCTCTGAAAATATAATGACATAAGACCTGTCAATTATACTATTCTGGTCAAGTTTGCAGTGCCAAAAGCATCCCGAGAATTTCAGTTTCACAATAGAAGCAACCATAACTTGACGTGATTATCAACCGTGGTACTACAAATAAAAACCCATGTAAAATTACTCACTTTCATTCATTCAGAACAAATCAAACTGGTACTCCCTTTGTACCACTACCTGGCATTCACCAACAAGAGAAATGGGAACCATATATGCTGTATAATTCACGGCTATTAGCAAAAGGACGCAAAAGGAGCTTAAATATCCAAGACCCAGGTCTTCTCATTAATGCCTAGAAGTGGATGCAGCTACTTTGCTCAATGACTCATCCACATCAGGTTTTCTCTAAAAATCCAAACGTACCGTTTCAATCAATAGGATAAATAAGACAATGATGCCAATAATAGCAATGGCTACAAGACCGCCTTTTATCCCAACTCCTTAAGGTAAAAAACAAGAAACATTTTCTTCCATTATAAACATCCTTGAGGATATTTCCTTTGTAACTGTCCTCCATTAAACATCCTTAAATTCACCAATATCTACCCTCCTTAACTGTCCTCCATTAAACATTATTAAAGTCCCCAATATCACATCCTTCTTAACTGTCCTCCGGTATACCTACATCCGGTCTTCATTGCTCCATTAACAACGAACCTATCCCTTTCCTAACTAGTGGACATTGTCTCAATGCAAATGTTCAAACTATACCATTCGATTCTCCTTATTTTATCCTCAGCTGAAACAAACATTAACTTTTTGCCAACACATTCATTTCACACCCCATCTCCTAGTGCATTTCTAATCAGCATCCCCGTTTCATCTACACTCATTTTCTAGACATACAATTTTTTAACTGCCAAATTCTAAGCCATACAACACTTCTGGTCTCACAACCTTTATATAGAATTTTCCCCACAATCACAGCAATCTAACATAAAAAACTGAATCTTGAATAAGGAATTGTTTTTAGGAATCATATTTGCATAACCTTCCACGCCTCTAGCAATAAAATATCATCATAATTCATAATAAAAGGATGCTCAATAACCATACGGTTAGAAATATGTATCAATGAAATTTATATCATATGTTTAGTTTCACCAATGGTATGATGCAGTCTTAGTGCCACATGAACATCTTGGCGATGAAGGAAACTGACTTTCACAACTGGAATTGACACCAATCTTATGTTTGTGGAGGCAAGCATCATAAAACAGAGGTCGAGCCATACCCGTGTCGGATACAAGAAAAATATATCCCTTACATGTTATACTCAATCCTTCATTACAAACAAATAAAGAGTGCATAAAATAAGCAGAAACATACTAGAGTGACGATAGCTAATATTCTCATGCAATTAATATATAGGAACTACTTAGAAGGGAAGAACTAAGTATTTCAGAAGGCACACACTAGTCTCTCCACAACTAGACCAAAAAACTGGCATTGAGAACAATGCTCGACAACTTAAAAATATTATAAATCATAACACAGAACAAAAACTCCACCAGTGTTGTGCTTAAACATTTATCCTTTTAACTGTTTGTCCCAGGTCAGGATAAAGGAGGGTTTCACCATGCAGTCAACAAACAAAACTAGCCTAATCTCTTAAACCATATACAACATCGTAATACAACAGTTGCAACGTGGACCATGAACACACAGTATCTACAAGAAATCTAGACATTCCACTCAGAGAAGTCTACGCAAGCTCACTTTCGTAATGTAGATACAAGAGTTTATACAGTATACACATCACAAAGGCTCCGCTACCCTGCACATCACTCTTAGGTACCGTTTGACAAAGGGTTAAGTGAGGGGTTAAGGAGACTTGAGGGGTTAAGGAGACTTAACCCCTTCTTAACCCGCCAAACACAAAAAATCTATACAATGGTTAAAGTAAGTAACCCTTCATAATTTGCCAAACATAAAAAATATAGAAGAGTTAAAGCTAACCCCTCTAGAGGGATTAAAATTAGTTAACCCCTCAAAATAAGGGGTTAGTAATACTCCTATTTAGAAGGATTAAAAGGTAACCCTTCTAATTATAAAGAAAATAGTCAAAATCATTGTTATTCCCAAACACTAAAACTAATCATAAGGACTAAAATAAAACTTATTTAACAAGTTAATAATTTAATCCTTCAAATTATCGAATGGGCTAAGTACATTAGTCCTTCTTTTTAACCCCTCTTCCTTAACCCTTTGCCAAACGGGGCCTTAAAGAAATATGTCTCGACTCATAAAGCCCCAAAAGCCAAGACAAACTCTAGTTGTTCTATAGAGGTAGCATATACAAGCATGAGGGACCTTTCTAACATGACGGAATTAGTTCCACCAATACAATGACCACACTACTTTTCTTTAATGTGCTTGCTCCATTAAAAGTTCTACAACAAGCGTATTCAAGGTATTCTATACGAAACTTGCAAAAACGGTCCAGTTTCCTTGTTTGGATGTCTACATCAATATTTCACTGAGGAACAAAAATGGTAAAACAATCAATTGAACTCGTTACAGCCTCATAAATAGCATATAGATTTAAAATTAATAAAGAAAAAGGGGGGGGGGGGGGG